CGCCTAAGAGCTGCGCTCTAAAAAGCTGCTGGCGCCAAATCAGCTGCCCTTTCCGCCCAATAGTGTCTTCTGGTTTTGGTCATCATTCGGGAGTGTCCCCCTAAACCGGAAGTCACCCCCAGCATCACCTCGTGTCGCCTCCAGAAGCTACGTACCTCCAGTGCGTAGATCTACTGGTGTTTACGTTCGGAGGAAGGAAAGGGGAGGGGTGACAGGGGGGATGAGAGGACGCGAAGGTTTTTTTAAGGTGGCATTAGCGTAGCCCGTTGGGTAGCCAGGCACATCGCAACGGGTTTGTGGCCCTCTCGACGACGCCATTTCGATGATATTACACCTGCGCGTTGATTAGCCGCAGAGCCAAGTACACACAATATTCGAAACATAAAATGAGGGAAAGCACAACATTACAAAATTGAACTCTTCCGTAGTAAGGGGTTACAAAGAATGGGTTACTCTAAGTGCGTTATTTTTGGGTAACCCTAAATAATAACGCCTTGATTTTTTCGTCCTTAGATCATAACTGCAGTTCAGTTAGATTTTTTTTAGGTAAGGATAAAAGTAGCGGCGATATGTTTTTCGCTACTTTCAGCAGTTTCTCGATTATTAATACATCGTTAGACGAGTAGAATCTAGTAACTTCTCAGACTTTACAAATGATGTGTTTCAGCATTTTTAGTTCGTCTAGTGCCAACTTGGGATTACGCGGTTTCTCATGAGTTACAAGGCGCCTACGGTCACGCATAAATGTAGTGCGAAAACTTGGTTATCCCTACGCATGCGATGGTTCTTTGTGAGTGAACACTTACATGTTCATCGCTTAAAACACTATCTTTGCTGCCGCGTTTTTAATTTTCTTTTATGGGCGACTTTTTTTTAAACACATCAGCCATGGAACGAAAGAAACGCAGTGACCAGTTTTTTTGTTTTTTTTCATTGATTTTCATTTTATTTCATATCATCTATTGTTGTTGCTCAAAGACATCCTTTGGGACGTATTGCATGACGCGCATTAAAAAAATATCACCGTTACGTTTTAAGAAGTACGGTAATTATAATTACCATTTCGTTCAAATAACTGTACCCTTAACTTTGCTATATTTTAAAGGAACTGTAACGAATCCTTTTTTCAAAGTGACTTGCCGCGAGTCTTCTGAAAACTGCAAGGGGTCGCACTGTCAGGATTCCGTATGGACTGCATCGGATGATCTAAGAGCGCGCTGGATACATTTTGTTTTCCTCTTGTTTCTTCTTCCACCAGCCCACTGTGACAACAGCGTTGCGAACGCTTCATACTCCCTCTGTCAAACTTGGCAGGCTCGGTGTATCGACCTCAGCGCCACTCGCGTTGTCTGTACCCACCCGGCCGCGCAAAATCCCATTGTCGCGTCGCGCCGGCCTAAACATTCCACGGTGTCCCAGTGCAGAGTAGCACTAGCGAATTCGCGCCACTCCACTAGTGTAGTTGACGCCGCCCAGTTGGACAACGCGACAAATTATATTTTAGTTGGAAAGCATTAACTGTCCCATGGAGCGAAGCCAGCTTTGTCTGTTACCATCTGTAGCATCGAAATAGCAGTTGAATTCCCATTGGACAAAACCAAAGAAAGGCGGATGCTTCGTCACAGAAGCCGGCTGGGCTCTCAAGGTCAAACGGACGCTCCTCAGAAATAGAACACACAGAAAAGCACAGGGACGCAGATGCATCGTCACGGAAGCCATGGAGCCGACGGGGTTCGCCGTGCATGCGCAGGGGGGGGGGGGGGGGGGGGGGAGCGTGATGTCCCCGTCAGAGCGCCGTATGCGATAGGAAGACGTGGCGCGCTGCTTGTAGGAATGCCCTGCGTCTAGGAATGCTTTTGCATTCGTGCAGGTGAGCGGTCTTAAGTATCTTCTTTAATTTTCTGCTTAGGTTTAGGATAAGTTCACTCCTAGCATAACATACACAGACAGACGGCGGGTATGCACTGTGCTCGATTGGTTTAGCGGGGGCCAGATAATACGGGCACAAACAAAAACACGACCGCAATGGAGCGTTTGTTTTGGCGCTGTTTGATAAGCCTCTTTAGCTGTCACATAAAACGCTGTCGCTCTGCTCGCACACGATACAAAGTGTTATGTATGTTGCAGCTGCTTGTGCCATGACGTGCAACGTGCGCGCGAGACTGTCGCGTGAAGTGCTTGTGGACGAGATCCAACAGTCACGCCTCTGGCGGCATGCTTCAGCTGTGTGGGCAACAAACCGAATTTTCTTGTTTGTTGTTGATTAGAGAAGTCGAAGATGACGATTCGAAAACCGCTCCTCGTGTGTCCGAAGCACTGATCACAGCGAAGCGCTCGTGCCCAGACCGTGCTCGGCGAGGTTCAAATCCTTTGTTATGCTGTGTTAGTAAACACCGGGCTTTGTGGACACCAAGCTCGATAAGCGCCCCTTATAGTTCGATCTCCTTCCCAATTGGCGACGTGCGCGACCGAAAGCGTGGCTGTGGTCGGCCTTCCACGATTGGTCCAAAAGTTGTCTATGACGTCGGAAAGGGTATACCATCAACGTATATAAGAGGAATGAAAGAACTTTAATTTCGGCGGTGTTGGCAGTGTTGCTTTGAGAGCGCTATGATTTCAGGCTTCCGCCATGCTATTTACCAACACCATCGAACTTGTTGTTGGCAAGGTAATGACGTCACAAGGGGGAACCATGGGAGGGCGCCACCAAAACATCTCGCCGCAAATACCGAGATGTTTCGGTGGCGCCCTCTTATGGTTTCCCCCAGTGACGTCACGACTGGGATTTGCCTCGCCGTGACGTCACCAGTTATTATTCTGGCTACTTACCATCAGGTGCGGCGACGAGTTCGATGGTGTGTTTAAAAAGCACAGTAGAAGCTAGGAGCCATCGGAATTCGAAACTAACACCGTCAAAGTTGAAAATCTGACAGTGCTCATATGCCCATGGTTTGGCCAATCATGGAAAGCTGACCACAGCGACGCTTTTGGTCGCGCACATCGCTAATAGAAGGTTGACTTATGCATATGCCAATCTTTGGCATTTTTCTTTTTTTTTTTAGAGCGCAGCGTTTAGGCACATGTTTCCTCATATAGCGGCGTCGGCGTCGGCGTAACCGCTATATACGGGAACGGGCGCTTAATAGTCCCATAATTCAACACTGTACGCGTTGCATTATGGGACGTCACAGACCTACGCCCCAATTAAACTTCCCCGCTAATACCGGTGCCACACGGGCAACTCGAATGCCATTTACAACGAATGGCATTCGTGTGAGCAACGAATCGGCTTGCGATCTGTCGCGCGTGGAACGCCCCACGCTCGGAGTGTCGCGCGCTAATTGGCCGATCGTTCAAATGTCATTCGTTGTAAATGGCATTCGAGTTGCCCGTGCGGCACGGGTATAAGTTTAGTGAATGAACTGAATTCGCGTGTAGGTTTGAGACGTCCCAAATTGCAACACTCCGCGTGTTGCGTTATGGGACGTCACAGGCATTTAGACACATTAAAGCTCCCCGCTCAATTTAGCGAAGAAACTGGATTGGTGTGTAGCTCTGTCTCGTCCCATAATGCGCCACTGCGCTCTTTGCATTATAGGACCTCACATGGCACGGCTTCATGGAATGCGGCTTGACGCGTGTCGCCGCCCCCAAACAGGGCCCCCACCGTACCCCCTCCTCCTCTATTACCTGCCCTCTCGGCGTAAGCAGCGCCACCAATCAGGGCTCTCTCAAATTTTTTACCATGGTACATCGCAAAATCAAAATGCCCCAAGAGCCGCACTCTCATTTCGCATTACAGAGAAGTGTAAACTTCTTTTACTTTTAATAAATAGCATTGTTTAGCTACCCCTCCTCCCTCCCGATTTTGTGGATCTTTCTGGCCTCCTAATACACAGAAGGTCTGCGCAGTAGATCATTTCAGCTAACTGTGCTTGCACAGTCAGCTGATCCTGACGACCTCAACATCGTCCTAGAGGTCGTCCTAGAAGTTGCCCTAGGCCTCGTCTTGGACGTCGCCCAAGGGACATCGTCCTGAACGACGTTTTTCAGAACGTCGTCTTCGACGTCGTCTTTGAGGTCTTCCTGGAGGTCGCCCTAGAGGCTGTCCTTGAGGTCATCCTAGAGGTCGTCTTAAAGGTTGTCCTTGATGCCACCCTAGAGGTTGTTCTAGGAGTCGTCATAGACGTCGCCCTCTAGGACGTCGCCCTTGAGGTCGTACTAGACGTCGTTCTTAACGTCGTGCTTAACGTCGTCCTTGGTCTCGTAACAAAATAGGGAGGAAGACATGACGAATGCTATCGCAATTCATAGACAACTAACACTAGTGGTTTCTGCAGTCATTTTTTTTTTAAATGTTTGCTCAACTATCTATCTTGAAGGTTGGGCCTTGTTTACAAAGAAACGCATTTTCCCACACTGCGCACACTGCCTGCACTGCGCACGCGCAGGAACCAGATTCGCGGGAGGTGCGTGCGCATTCGCCCCGCCGACAGCAGCGCCACCGCAGCGCCGTGACGTCAGAACCTCTCTTTTGCTTACGCTCTTCCCAGCCACCTGCTAGGCGCATTCGGTAAGGGCGAAAGAAATAATATTAAAACACTCAACTTTTAATTAGTAAAAGAAAAATATAAGTGAGGCAAAACGAGAGTCGGTGACGGATGCGCTTATATCCTGAATGTGATCTATTGGCGTTGCGACGGCAAAACAATGTTTTTGCCCATACTAGAAGTGACAATATTCAAGATGGCGGCGCCCTTGTGGAAGCGGTCCTGCCACCAATTTTATTCTTTTGTCCTCGTATCTGTTCGCGTTGTTTTTATCATGGGCGTTCCCCAACCTACCGAATTTAGCATTGTTTTTTAATGTTCGTTTTCTTTTTTTCCTTGTTCTGTTCTGCGATACTAGCCTTGTATATTAAAATATGTGTTATTTAGATAAACCTGGACACATTAACTTCTTGTTGCTTCATTTCCTTCGCTCTCTTTCTACATTTGCAGAAACCGAACCGAAGTTCTTCAGTCTAAAGACTGCAATGGAAAAGTTCGTTGGAGTTTTTGAAAAACAGTACAACACTAAAGTGAATTGGACTGATATGTGGTCAAACAGCCAAGAAATGAAAGACCTGTTCGGGGAAAAAAAGTAACTAAACCTCAACCTAAAGTCTCACACAATTGAACAAAAAAATATTGCGACATTTTTATCCTAAGTACGTGTTTTGTTGGAAGCCGCCCCACCTTGGTGTTATCAATGAAGGGTTTCAACAAGCCGTGTTTTGCAACAGTGATATTGACACGAGGAGCTTGGGCTGCAGCTTCAAAGCACGCCATTTTTATACCTCACTTACCCCCCACCCCCCCCCCCCCCAAAAAAAAAAGAATTAAGAAAACTTCCTAATTTTAAGCTTGATAACTTTCTACGTGAGCGAATTAATCGACAGAAATAAACAAATGAGGAAGGCAGCGCTGAAAGGAAAGCTCCGGCGTAATTGTGATGGTCATTGTTTTTTTATAAAGTGTTTACAATTTACTTAATATCCACCGGTGAGTATGTCTCCAAAAAATTTAATCAAAACATCAATTTAATTGGATAAAATGAATTTGAAAATTTACGCCTACACCACCGAATCTATTGCTGCCGCTTTACTGGCAACAACGAGCAGGGGCACTCGTGACGTCAGACGTATCCGAGAGCAGACGACGCTCCCTACTTTAGGGCGTTAAGCGTTCTGGTGATGGTGAGCGTCTGTGGCTTCGCGAATTGCGTCTGGATTAAGCTGTTTGCGGCATGTGATGGAGGGTAAGAGAAATTGGGAATTGGCGGCGGGGTGCAATGGCACCACGAAGGAAATCATCACAGTGAAATCTTATTGGTATCCGACAAGTCTCTACGACGGAAGTGGATTAGCAGTCCGACGCGAACGCTGGCTCTTGGCGTTCGCGTCTTGCTAGGGAACAGTTCGCACCTTGTTAGCAGATTAAACCCTCCACGCCATTTTGTTCGAAGCGGCATCCGAGTCCACACGTCGGCGGATCGTGAATACAGCCCCCAACGAAGCTGACCTCGAAGGAGACGCCGGCGGATCGAATACCGAGTGCGAATCGCCTGATATCTGGAGCTAAAAATCTTTGGAAATTCGCTAATTGCTTGCTTGATGAATCGTAGTTCATCATTTCCCCCGGACGATCGCGACGCCTTCTGACGCTGGGCGAAACAGGCCCAAGCTGCCCATGTGCTGATGATTATACACCTGACGTCAAAAGGCGGTAGACCAGGAAAGTTGGAGGTTAGTTTCGGTTTCGCTTCTAACGCATTTCTACGATTAAAAATTATGTATAAACTTTTGGGAGAAATTTCTTTGCTGCTCTAGGCTCAGTATCTCGCACTCTTTAAGAAAATATGTCTAGTTGAAAATGTTCAAATATACGGCAGAGCTCTCATTTAAAGATTGACATCTGCAGCCCAGATTGCATAGCGCTATAGACTGCTGAAAATATGCATTTAACCATTATAAAAAAATTATACATGTCGCTATTTGTGCGGTGGTGAGCACACTATAGTTACGTTGTCCACGCCCTTCTGGTCAGCGAAAATACGAAATATGAACGTTCGTCAATAAACGGTTTATTGATTGCTTCGTTACTTTTCAAATGTATGTTAGATCACTCTGACGATTTTTTTTTTCATGTCTTAGGTTTTATATACAAGTCGAAGGGGGCACGGTAAAAATGGGTGATCCAAAAACAGGTTCCGGTGCCCGCAGCCTTTTGTACGCTAACCTCTATAACAACGAATCGAATGCTACCCAAACATACACTGTCACGCATACTACCATTCGCAAAGAAAGAACATCTGTAAAAGTAAGCGACGGATTCAGTCTGGGCATTGAAACTTCGGGAGGTGTGTCATTAAAAACAGTGTTTGGATTGAGTGGCAGCGGCGGCGTTAAATACAACTCGGACAACACCACGACCGACACTCAGACGAAACTCAAGACGTTTGCGGTGGCCACAGGAGTCAACGTTCCTTCCAACAGGACTGTTCGAGTGGAGTGGTTCGCCACCACCGCTGAAAGCGTACGTAATTCCTTAACCAGGGTGCTGCAGTCAGCTTTGTGTTCACTTCAGCGATTTGCACATTAGAGTGACCATGGGGGCGCTGTTGTTCAACCAATCCTTTGCATCGATATCTATCCATGCACTAAAATAGTTTACACCCTTAAGGGTGTAAATCAACATGTCCCAGGGCTAGCACACTAAAGCCGTGGTCACACCCCTTATGCATCACACAGACGACAGTCTGTATGCAGAATGGAACGCGAATAGCCGCGAGTTTCGTGCTTCGAATGCTGCATGGCACCGAGTTAAAGGGGAAACAAGCAGATACAAAAGCAAACGAAACCTTTCGCGCCGCGCGTCTGCGGTCGATGCACTTAGCACTCGGCATCCGACCCACGGATATTGCGGTGACTCGTGTTTGCAGTTTGTCTTTTTCTTTTGTGTGATGTGTGATGCCCGAGTCCCACTAGAGCAACAAACAAAAACAACCGACGTGGACAAGCCTCTAACCACAGCCTCCTCTATACTGGCAAAGCCTGGCAGATCGCCACGAGACGCGGCAGCCCAAAGTGAGACGGCAGACAAGAGTCATGTAACGGGCGCCCCGCTGAGGCGAGACGCCGAAACACTTGCACCGAGTGATAGAATGTTCGCTCGTGCTTACGTGGGGCAGAAGCTGTAGACACTAGAACACAATTAAAGTTCTGTAGCGGATAGAGTAAAACTGGACAAATTTACTGTATTCAGCGAATGGACGCTCGTTCCTGCGGTACATGAGCGTTCAGTAAGTGCAACTTGTGTACACCCGTGAGCGATATGAAGGTGAACAGCCCTCTTCTTGTTTTTGACGCTCCTGCAAGTTTTGGAACAAGCTCTGTTCCAGAAGAGGGCTAGAATGCAAAGTTTAGACCCCAAGCCACGTACCATTTGAGACATTCAGAGTTAATATAGCTTTAGGGAGCCGTAAAACAGGCAAGAAACCAGGTAAGGTGTTCACCTTCATATTGCCGGCGGGTGTACTTCGTTCATTGTGGTTGGTTCGAGGTAATGAATTGTGGACGGGGTTGAATGATAGAACGGACATTTCAGATGTGAATCATGTCATTACAGAGAGTGACAATGTTAGAGAGAGCAGCCGATGAGCCTAACACATCATCGCGTGACAACTTTCTATTTTTCGCTACGTTAATTTCCTTCGGTCTTTTTCGCTCGTATTCTTCAATCGTGTTTTTTTCGGTGTGAGATAATAACTCGGTGACTTGTAACTAAACTCTGTGACGGCAAGGTCACCGGTGCGTCGTTCCATAGCCTCCTCTATAGTGAGAAAGTCTGGCAAATCTTCACGTGACGCGGCCGCTGAATGTGAAAAGGTAGAGTGGGCGACAAAACTCATGTAACGGGCCCCCCGCTACGGCGAGAAACCGAAACACACTTATCCCGGACGATGGAATGTCCGCTCGCGTTCCTCGCCGCTTCTTTTCTCGTCGGGTTTGAAAGCAATGTTGTGTGTCCTCGCTGCTGCATAAACTGTGCGCTGGACGCCCAGGCTCCCCGAGAAATGCTCTGTGCTACCAGATCCTCGTGCTCCAAATCTGCAACCGGGCACTTTATGGCTCCGTTGTCAAACTGCAAGGCTCTGTGAGTATAGGGGAGGCTATGACCGTATTGACCCTACTGCCGATGCTCCGGTAACGAAACCTATCGCAATCTACACAATACGCCTCACACGGGCCGCTCTGGTTCCAACACTACCTTGTATACCAGTACACTGTATCGTTACTGCATGACATACGTTAAAGACAACAGGCTAGCTGTCTCACTGGACTGGCTCTACAGCCTGAACCACTACAGCCTAAACCACTGTTGCAGTACCTCAAAGTCACACCTACCTTACGCTCTGCAAACTCGAACGTCAAATCTGATTTTGCCACTCGGTTGCTTCATTTCATCTTCGCTGCAGTTCCAATGGTTTTTAATTTTTGCTGACTGAAAAAGCGACGAATATGATATCGCAATCAAGGAGTTGTTTAAAGCTTAAATGAACGCGGAGGCTTGCCCTTGTAGTCTATCGGGCGAACGCATCCGCGTAGCCCGACTAACGTTCGAGTATATGCTGGAATTCGGCATCATTCGACCATCGAAGAGTTCCTGCGGCGTACGCATAGCCATCTGCATGCTAAACGACTGTGCAATTTTATTTGTATGCCATAGCATAACATAAAAACTTGCATTGTTATTCCACTGCATATTTTCTACTATAATTCGAATACCTTCAGTGAAGCAATTAATCGAAACCCAAAAAATAAACTCGAACTTTTATGCACGAAACCTACGTCTATTGCATAGAAAAAATGCTTGCGTACGACTGGCGCACTGTAGATAATGCTTGCACGCGACGCCATCGCTCCGGGCTGGTAGACATTTGTACATGTTATTTCCAAGAAAACATACTTCCTGTCGTTCTAAATGTAGGCCATAAAATGTGCGCACTTAGGAGCGAGACCACCACAATGGCGGTTGATGTGACGTCAGCGCAAGCCCTAGAAAAAAAAAAACAGGCTTGTCGAGAAATGCAGACATTTTAAAAGGATGCATTTAATTGCTTACGGAAGCTTTTACCGACTCTCATAACTCCTTCTTGACCTTTTTAGGATATTGATTGGACCTGCGATTTTACCATCAGCGGATACTTTGCCATAGGGCTCAAGGAAAAATTTCAAGACACCTACGTGCTCATCCTTCCAGCGTATTACCTCGCCCTTGCCAACAACGAAATGGAAATAGTAGGCCCTCGGCACGCGCGCTTCGTGGCTAAAGGTGTGTTTAGAAAGGTCTTTGTACCGGGATCTGACATCTACACGAATGATGTGACGGAAACGCTGAAGAAAAGAGAGGTGATTGTTTCTGGAAGGTCACGGATTGCTGGTGAATTTTAAGGAAAAGTCTGGCGATAACGAACGTTCCTCCTTAGAGACATTAAAGGGGAAAAAAATTATGTCGCCTTTTTTTATTGTGTAAACGTCAACGGTGTTATGGTTACCGCACAGAGATACCAGTGTTTGATCGAAAAGACATTTAAACATTGATTAAAACAAATAAAACGATTTCTAAATTGCACTTGGTTGACGTTCCTCAAGCTACTTACAATGTCGTTATGCCAATTGTGGTAGCCACTGGCTTCCGAGCAGTGCTAAACCGCGGACGTGACGGCCGGAGTTTGGCGCCTGGGCGTTTCCTTTGTGGTAGGGAGGGTTCGCCACCCTTCTGGCCTATTCTGTCGCACTCCTCCACGTGGCTCTCGTTTCAGGCCCGGGAGCAGTCGGGCGTTCCCTTCACTAAGTTGACGGTCGTCTGCGGAGATCTATGGATTGAGCTCCTGCGATGGGTCAAGTCGTGGCGTGAGCTCGTCCGACCGCCGATGTCTCTGCTTACGGTTCCCCTGCCTCAGGTCGGAGAGCGCGGCGAGCGCTTATCCGTGGATTGCTCCGCTGCAGTTTCATTTTGGAGTCCCTTGCTTACTAATAAGCTATGCTGGACACCGAGATCATTGTTGTTGGCACGGAGTTGATGAACCTGGCGTGGCGTCCAATGTGTCTTTCCCAACGGCCGAGGGCTACCCCTGCTGGTAGCCCTCGGCCGCGGTGATGAACCCGGCGTGGCGTCCAATGTGTCCTTCCCAACGGCCGAGGGCTACTTTTGCTGGTAGCCCTCGGCCGCGGTGATGAACCGGGCGTGGCGTCCAATGTGCCTTTCCCAACGGCCGGGGGCTACCCTTGCTGGTAGCCCTCGGCCGCGGTGATGAACCCGGCGTGGCGTCCAATGTGTCGTTCCCGACGGCCGAAAGCTACCCTTGCTGGTAGCCCTCGGCCGCGGTGATGAACCGGGCGTGGCGTCCAATGTGCCTTTCCCAACGGCCGGGGGCTACCCTTGCTGGTAGCCCTCGGCCGCGGTGATCAACCCGGCGTGGCGTCCAATGTGTCGTTCCCGACGGCCGAAAGCTACCCTTGCTGGTAGCCCTCGGCCGCGGTGATGAACCCGGCGTGGCGTCCAATGTGTCCTTCCCAACGGCCGAGGGCTACTTTTGCTGGTAGCCCTCGGCCGCGGTGATGAACCCGGCGTGGCGTCCAATGTGTCTTTCCCGACGGCCGAAAGCTACCCTTGCTGGTAGCCCTCGGCCGCGGTGATGAACCCGGCGTGGCGTCCAATGTGTCCTTCCCGACGGCCGAAAGCTACCCTTGCTGGTAGCCCTCGGCCGCGGTGATGAACCCGGCGTGGCGTCCAATGTGTCCTTCCCAACGGCCGAGGGCTACTTTTGCTGGTAGCCCTCGGCCGCGGTGATGAACCCGGCGTGGCGTCCAATGTGTCTTTCCCGACGGCCGAAAGCTACCCTTGCTGGTAGCCCTCGGCCGCGGTGATGAACCCGGCGAGGCGTCCAATGTGTCGTTCCCGACGGCCGAAAGCTACCCTTGCTGGTAGCCCTCGGCCGCGGTGATGAACCGGGCGTGGCGTCCAATGTGCCTTTCCCAACGGCCGGGGGCTACCCTTACTGGTAGCCCTCGGCCGCGGTGATGAACCCGGCGTGGCGTCCAATGTGTCTTTCCCGACGGCCGAAAGCTACCCTTGCTGGTAGCCCTCGGCCGCGGTGATGAACCGGGCGTGGCGTCCAATGTGCCTTTCCCAACGGCCGGGGGCTACCCTTGCTGGTAGCCCTCGGCCGCGGTGATCAACCCGGCGTGGCGTCCAATGTGTCCTTCCCAACGGCCGAGGGCTACTTTTGCTGGTAGCCCTCGGCCGCGGTGATGAACCGGGCGTGGCGTCCAATGTGCCTTTCCCAACGGCCGAGGGCTACCCCTGCTGGTAGCCCTCGGCCGCGGTGATGAACCCGGCGTGGCGTCCAATGTGTCCTTCCCAACGGCCGAGGGCTACTTTTGCTGGTAGCCCTCGGCCGCGGTGATGAACCGGGCGTGGCGTCCAATGTGCCTTTCCCAACGGCCGGGGGCTACCCTTGCTGGTAGCCCTCGGCCGCGGTGATGAACCCGGCGTGGCGTCCAATGTGTCGTTCCCGACGGCCGAAAGCTACCCTTGCTGGTAGCCCTCGGCCGCGGTGATGAACCGGGCGTGGCGTCCAATGTGCCTTTCCCAACGGCCGGGGGCTACCCTTGCTGGTAGCCCTCGGCCGCGGTGATCAACCCGGCGTGGCGTCCAATGTGTCCTTCCCAACGGCCGAGGGCTACTTTTGCTGGTAGCCCTCGGCCGCGGTGATGAACCGGGCGTGGCGTCCAATGTGCCTTTCCCAACGGCCGGGGGCTACCCTTGCTGGTAGCCCTCGGCCGCGGTGATGAACCCGGCGTGGCGTCCAATGTGTCTTTCCCGACAGCCGAAAGCTACCCTTGCTGGTAGCCCTCGGCCGCGGTGATGAACCGGGCGTGGCGTCCAATGTGCCTTTCCCAACGGCCGGGGGCTACCCTTGCTGGTAGCCCTCGGCCGCGGTGATCAACCCGGCGTGGCGTCCAATGTGTCCTTCCCAACGGCCGAGGGCTACTTTTGCTGGTAGCCCTCGGCCGCGGTGATGAACCGGGCGTGGCGTCCAATGTGTCTTTCCCAACGGCCGAGGGCTACCCCTGCTGGTAGCCCTCGGCCGCGGTGATGAACCCGGCGTGGCGTCCAATGTGTCCTTCCCAACGGCCGAGGGCTACTTTTGCTGGTAGCCCTCGGCCGCGGTGATGAACCGGGCGTGGCGTCCAATGTGCCTTTCCCAACGGCCGGGGGCTACCCTTGCTGGTAGCCCTCGGCCGCGGTGATGAACCCGGCGTGGCGTCCAATGTGTCGTTCCCGACGGCCGAAAGCTACCCTTGCTGGTAGCCCTCGGCCGCGGTGATGAACCGGGCGTGGCGTCCAATGTGCCTTTCCCAACGGCCGGGAGCTACCCTTGCTGGTAGCCCTCGGCCGCGGTGATCAACCCGGCGTGGCGTCCAATGTGTCGTTCCCGACGGCCGAAAGCTACCCTTGCTGGTAGCCCTCGGCCGCGGTGATGAACCCGGCGTGGCGTCCAATGTGTCCTTCCCAACGGCCGAGGGCTACTTTTGCTGGTAGCCCTCGGCCGCGGTGATGAACCCGGCGTGGCGTCCAATGTGTCTTTCCCGACGGCCGAAAGCTACCCTTGCTGGTAGCCCTCGGCCGCGGTGATGAACCGGGCGTGGCGTCCAATGTGCCTTTCCCAACGGCCGGGGGCTACCCTTGCTGGTAGCCCTCGGCCGCGGTGATGAACCCGGCGTGGCGTCCAATGTGTCTTTCCCGACGGCCGAAAGCTACCCTTGCTGGTAGCCCTCGGCCGCGGTGATGAACCGGGCGTGGCGTCCAATGTGCCTTTCCCAACGGCCGGGGGCTACCCTTGCTGGTAGCCCTCGGCCGCGGTGATCAACCCGGCGTGGCGTCCAATGTGTCGTTCCCGACGGCCGAAAGCTACCCTTGCTGGTAGCCCTCGGCCGCGGTGATGAACCCGGCGTGGCGTCCAATGTGTCCTTCCCAACGGCCGAGGGCTACCCTTGCTGGTAGTCCTCGGCCGCCGTGATGAACCCGGCGTGGCGTACAATGTGTCTTTCCCGACGGCCGAAAGCTACCCTTGCTGGTAGCCCTCGGCCGCGGTGTTGAACCCGGCGTGGCGTCCAATGTGTCTTTCCCAACGGCCGAGGGCTACCCCTGCTGGTAGCCCTCGGCCGCGGTGATGAACCCGGCGTGGCGTCCAATGTGTCCTTCCCAACGGCCGAGGGCTACTTTTGCTGGTAGCCCTCGGCCGCGGTGATGAACCCGGCGTGGCGTCCAATGTGTCTTTCCCGACGGCCGAAAGCTACCCTTGCTGGTAGCCCTCGGCCGCGGGGATGAACCGGGCGTGGCGTCCAATGTGTCTTTCCCAACGGCCGAGGGCTACCCTTGCTGGTAGCCCTCGGCCGCGGTGATCAACCCGGCGTGGCGTCCAATGTGTCTTTCCCGACGGCCGAAAGCTACCCTTGCTGGTAGCCCTCGGCCGCGGTGATGAACCCGGCGTGGCGTCCAATGTGTCTTTCCCAGCGGCCGAGGGCTACCCCTGCTGGTAGCCCTCGGCCGCGGTGATGAACCCGGCGTGGCGTCCAATGTGTCCTTCCCAACGGCCGAGGGCTACCCTTGCTGGTAGCCCTCGGCCACGGTGATGAACCCGGCGTGGCGTCCAATGTGTCCTTCCCAAGGGCCGAGGGCTGCCCTTGCTGGTAGCCCTCGGTCGCGGTGGTGAACCCGGCGTGGCGTCCAATGTGTCCTTCCCAAAGGCCGAGGGCTACCCTTGCTGGTAGCCCTCGGCCGCGCGGTGGGACGGGCATGGGGTTCCCTTTGACCACCGGCCCCCGAACGTAAAGGTAGGTGATCCACACCCGAAAGAAAGACTTCTTCCAAAAATACCTGCCCGCAACACTTCGCACGTAGAATTATGGGACGTCTGTGGTCACGTAGAGGAGTTGCATGGTTTCAGGTTCTACTGCCCCATTGACGGAGTAATGCATCTCAGCACTGCATACAAATAAAGTCCGCCCTCGCTGGTATTTTAATCTAATGCCCCTGAATAAGAAAGGTACCGACATCTCCTGCCTCCTACACTGACGCGCTCACCTTTTAGTTTTATGTTTTGCTCATTTACACCCGCCCGTAGAGTGCCTTCATACACACGCGAGCTTTTGCTTGAGTGGTGACATCTCAGCCATTTTTCCACCCCATCGTTTTTTTTTTTTTGCATTTTGAAGCGCGCGCAATCCGGTGTCACTCAGCTCGAGCGCGTAGCTTTGGCTACTGCATAGACGCCATTTTACCGCCCAAGTCACGCACCGAGTGCGCGAGAGCGTCACGCGCTGGCACATTCAAGGCAACAATGGATGTCTTCACCCTCAGACAGACAGACATGTAGGCACCC